ACACTGTGAACATTACAGGTAATAAACCTAAAGTTCAAACATGTTAGTGTTGGTAAAGGGTGTATTCTTTGTTTTTCTAGAAACACGAGGAAGCAGCATCAATATTGAAGCATATGTCAAAGGACTCCTCGTTGTCACTTCCAACATTGGAGACAAGCAGCACTTTAGAGAGCGTCAAAGCATCATCTGCAATGGAAGTGCTCACAGATAGACAGCACAGTAACACCCAACTTGAGACGAGTTCTACGCTCCTGATGTCATCTTCCAAAGGCATTTTAAAGAGTGAATCCTCTGGAACTTTGTCTAGTTCTACTCTTGCAGGAACGTTCTTGAACCCAAGCGTGACAACTCCCTCCCTTACAAACTACTACTCAGCAGTCTTGAAAACTACGACTCAGCAGAGCTCAACACTATCAACTAGCTTGGTTTACTTTGCACATTCTTCCTCTACACCTAGGCCAACGCTGTCTGCATCAGAGCCCAGCAGTGCTTTTAGCCCCAGTTTAAAACTGCTGACTAATTCCATTGTGAACGAAACAGTTATTTCTATCTCCTCTGGAATAACACGGTCAACAGTTGATATTGAAATTGACTCTTCTGTTCACGAATCTGAAATGTCGTTTCTACCAAACGGACCAGAATCGACATATATTGCTACGACCTATGTCTCCTCTTCTCAAGAAAGACAGCAATCTGATACAGATGTGCTCATAAAGCCAACCGTTTCAACTTCTGCTGCTATCCTGTCAACCGCTGCGGCTTTTCCTTTCACAGATGAAGAACTGGCTAGTTCCCTTTCTCCAAAAAACAGTAAGACAATGCAAGATAAGAGTTACTTTACGAGCTCAAAGGTGGCCCTTGCTACGTTTGTTACGGAAATGATAGCAACAAAATCAGTATCTTATAATGCCATCGATAGCACAAACTCTGCAAAAGAATTGGCAACTTCTCAATCAGAACTAACAGTATCACAAATGCATGCGAATTCGATTTCCTTTGCGAAAACGATGAATCCTAACATTGACAAAACCGTAAGCATTTCATCACCTTCAGTGCCAACCACTCTGTTAACAAGCGAAGCAGCTGATACGTTCCCGCAACTGACAACGTCCTCAACCGAAACTGACATGAATTCGTCCCTTTCGGTGATGCAAAATACTGCACTTGAGAGCTCTAGCTTTTCAACGTCCTTACAGAGCATAGCATCAACATTACAGGCGCAATTACAGGCACAGTCAGTACTGTTAAACACCGCTATAAGCAGCATAGACTCGACTTTCTCGGCGACTGCTGCTTCAGCAAGCACGTCACAAGTTCCAACACAATCACCACGTATGTGAAGTGTAATATCAAAAACTATATACCATAATTGTTAAATTTAATGCTTCGGATACTGATTCATTTTCCTTCATCTCAATAAAGTACACATAAAAAGCATCATTTGCCATTGCAACAAAAGTCTATGACATACAAAAGGGGAAGAAACCGACAGGGCTCCTCTGCGAATCACCAAGCTATGTACGTAAAGGCATTCATAAGAGAAGAGACTCAAAATTGAGAATTATAGACTATGCTAAGAACTAGTAAACATTTTCACTTGGAATGCAGTGAATTCTGGGTAATTGCTAAAAATGCTAACACAACTTTCATCAATTTTGATAGCAAGAAACGCGACAGGGATTGCTTGAGGGCTTAAAGCCCTGGCCAAACGAGCCAACATTTCGCCCAACATTTAACCCAACATCTTTCCCAACAATGTTGGGAGTTGTTAGGAACGTTGGCCAAACGACCCAACAATTCACCCAACATTTAGCACAACCGTTTTTGGGATACTCGGATTGAGTCCAAAACAACCTAAGCCTGCCATCCCTGATCTTGAAAGCAACGTTTTTCTTTTCCCCAAACCCCTATTAATCTCCTTTACGGCCTCGTCGTACTAATCTTTACTCACTAAATCTCTTTCTTCGTACTCTTCCATTATCCAATATTCTTCAGTCGTCCAAATCTATTCTACGCTCTTCATCTTAAAATTTTGATCTCTGCTTCACGAACTCGAGCTTGGCGCGCAGCGCTATTCACTTTTAAAAATTGTTTACAGTGCTTGCGTGAAGCCAACAAATGTTGGGCAACCCGGCCAAACGAGCCAACAACGCAAAACAGCACCTTGAACAATAGGGATTATTTTAATTACCAACCAACAGCCGCCAACATTTTTGACCAGTTTCAAATCGATCCAACAATTCAGCCAACATCTTTCCCAACAATGTTGGGTGACCCAACATGGTGGCCAAACGACCCAACATTTGAGCCAACATGCGAAAAAAGCGTGTTGGCTGAAATGTTGGGTGAAATGTTGGCTCGTTTGGCCGGGGCTTAAGCGTTCCTTACTTACTTCATAAAGAGAACTTTGAGCTACTAACTGAATTAGTTTTTATCATTAGCCCCTAGGTCACTCAACATGTTTTGACAAACACTACCCACCCAAAGAACATATTGTTGACCACCTTTGATGTTCATTGAGGGGTTGACAGCCATTCTCCTAACCCTTTATCATAAGTGATATTTTTCGTGTACTTGCCAGACCTATTTCTTGTTATTTGTTATCCTAAGCAATATCGTTTACTTTACTTCTAGCCTGCTCATTGGATGCCACGACAGGCAAGTGTTTTAATTTTTCTTCGCAATTTCACACGTGGTTCAATGCAGTCAAAGACTGTCAGCTTAGAAATGGCTATCTAGCAATAAAGGTGGATAAAGACAAGCGGAAGTTCCTTAACGAGTTACGTGGATTGAAGTCGATTCAAGAGACAGAATTTTATGTTGGATTATATAAGGTTTGTAAATGTGACATCATTCGTTTATAATTTTTTGTTTGTTGATTAATCAAAAGTGATTACAGACATTAAAAGGATGAGTGAAAAGCAAGCAAAGGGGGCGTATTAGTTTAGTTTAAGGGTTTACGAGTCTGAATAATAATAAAAATAATAATAATAATAATAATGATTGTAACAATAATAATAATGATAATAATACTTTATTTATGCAGGGTAATTCAGTCAGGTATAAGGTGCTATCAAAAGAAGCCATGTCTAATATTGAAGAAAACACAGCGTAGTATTTATCCATGAAGCTACCATCAATCATTTCAATTACGATGATTTTAGTCCATAAAATATTCCTTCAAAGCTTTCCTGAAATAAATGTAAAATTTTTCATATGAGATGAGATGACAGAGCGTTGAAGATTTTTGCCCCGCTGTAATTGGAGTTGCACCCCTTTTTGTGCAATTTTCATCCTAACTTTTGGCATACGCAGTCTATACCATTATGTCTTGTTGATTTTCCGTGTTCTAATTTCGTAAAATAGTTATAGGAGGTATCAGGAGCAGCAAAATTTAAGCATTTGCAAACGAAATCTGCACACTGAATTGATCTCATGGAAGCCAGTAATCGCCAGGCACGGTGGTTATTATGCTGTTCTCCAAAAACGATTCTAAGTGCTCTCTTCTAAGTCTCCTTGAACCTCTCGATTCATATGACTCTGATAACGTCAAGAATGCAATGCTGTAGTAAGTCATAAATGGCTGAACCATGGCTTTGTATAATTCCACGGCGGCATAGGCTGTGAGTATTGGCCTGATTCGGCGCAGGAGACCTAGCCGGCTTGAAGCTTTCTTACAGATTCTTTGAACGTGATTGTTCAGAGAGAGAGAC